TCATGGGAGTCTTTTTGCCAGATCCATTAGAAGAAATAGAGTCAGACCAGACGTAAGAACAGTCATACAGACTCTATTAGCGGCTGTGCAGCTTTGATTGATGACTCTAAATACAAAGCACAATTCTCAGGCACACAGTTGCAATTGCCAGCTTTTCAGTAATGCCCACATGTGTATTACACTGTTTTACAAAGCCAGTGGACAGGTGGTGATATTGGCACTATGTCACACTAGACCAACAATTGGTTGGCCCAGTTTAGAAAGCTTCATCTTGGCACCTCTTTCCGACAGAGACCTTGCCAACAGGAGCAAAGTTTCTTCAGGTCATTCCTGCAATGTCCTAAGTGGACACCTCATCCCTGAGAGGAAATAGACGCTATTGGGATTCTCATTCTTTACACTGTCAAAAACAAGAAGCAGCTGATAAAATGTAAGCAACTCAGACCCAGATGTAAACAGATTAAGGGAGGAAAAAAGCACAGCAAATGCAATTAGAAAATCTCTCAACAATTGCAAAGTAATTAAAATTTAATTTATTAAATGACAATTACAATGAAGAAATGAATGACATCCACTTCTAATGTCAGAGACATAATGCAAAGTGTTGGGATTGACCAGCAGGAGTGTATTCAGTTCTCCATGAACAGAAATAGAAATTGAACAGTGCTGTAACCAAGAAACATGGATTCAGTTCATGATTTTTGATGTGCGCTAAAAATGTAGTAATGCATTTATGCATTAAAATCAAATGAGATTCGGTCTAGATATCAAACACACTTTAACTTTAAATGTTAATATATAAAACAATAAAACATGGGGTGAATTTTAAGCAAAAACAACTAGGCTTATATTGGAATATATGCTGTTAAAGTTATTAGAATTTCTTTCTCTGACCTTTAGCTTCAAGTAAGGTTCGCAATTACAAAATAAAATTTATTTTGAGCTGCATTTACATTATCAAAGCCTGCGATTCTTTTCAATAAACATTCTTTGGTAATATTTGGCCAAATATTTAGACTTTTTCCGTAAAATCAAATGCTGTTTGTGAAGGGTTAATTGCCTCACCTGGTTTTGTAATGTGCATCACTCCCTTAATTCAAACACCACACCTTAATCTACACGACTGAAGTTAGCAACAACCATAACTGCAATTATTTCACAACAGCTGAGAAATTATACCCAAGAATGATGGCGGTAAAACTTCACTCAAATACTTCCTCTTCACATGCAAAACACACACACACACACTGCCAGACGTACAGAAAACCTCTTTACGCATGCAAACTGTACCAACAACAAATAATAAAGATATCCATACATTTAGGGCTGGGCGATATGGCCAAAGAATTATCACAATAAAATGTTTTATCAGTCGATATTGATAATAACCATTACAATTAATGGCAAATCTTTATTTCTTTCAAAGTTAGATTTCCGATCTTGAATGAAATTTGTTGAAACCAGACAGTTAAATGTGTTTTTATAATACTTTTTATTGTCAGAAAACTTGCCAAACAGGTCAACATTTCACAAATCTGAGGTAGAATATTCAAAATATTTATAAATGATAAAATTTTTCATCAAAATATGCACGAGTTAACTTGAATAAAATACGTTTTCAGTCTTTTTTCCTTAAAAGAAATATCTTAATAGAAAAAAATATATATTTCTTAGTTTCCGCAGGTTGATAGTTTGTGTTTCCTGGCTGACTTTAATGACTTGTATCTTCGGCACAGTTAGCAGTGCAGGCTGTAGGGCTGTATTCAACCAAAGAAATCCTTAGTCGACCAAAGTCGAGTCCTGCGCAACGATTAGTCGACTGAAAAAAAAAACCTGACCACACCACACGCTGCAAAAAATATAACTGCTATCTGCCACATAATGAAAAATCCCAACAAAAGCTCTCGTTTATACAGGCTTTATATTCTTCTTTACTTTCAAAGCTATGGGTTAACTTTAGTCCTGACGATCAAGGCGTTTTAAACAACACACAAAAAACCCAAATAACTTAAAAACAATCCTAATAATAGGCTGTAGGACCGCGTATAGGTTTATTTTCGTTTTGTTGCATTATTTAGGCTATTTTCAAATGCGTCAAGTGTACAAATAAAAACGAAAACATTAAGAAAACACAATCTATTGAGTCAGCATGATATAGCCGTTAAAAGGCTGCTCGCGTCTTTTGCGCGCTCAAGTTCGATTTCAGGCGCGCGACTTGCGCGCTCATAATGGAGCAACGCGATCGCCTCCCTCCACAGTCTTGTCGTCTTTGTTTTAAAATGCAGCCAGAGAAAAGATTTAGATTTCCTGGACATTTTGTCGACTAAAGCCAAAACAAGCAGCGTTCTAACTGAATGAATACAGCATCCCTTACCGAGCGCGAGCAGCAGCGCAGCCAGCCACAGGTGCGGTTCCCGAGTGTATTATGTGTGTGCGCTAAACTGTGGCGCAGTTACAAAAATAGCCTAAATTAAAGCATTTTTAAGTTGGGGACAAAACATAGGCTAATTATATTTAGAATACAGTAATAAATAACTGCTTATAAATGAATAAATATCAAGGAGTAAATCATTGAAAAATTCTTTCTATTGGTAAAAAAAAAAATGCAACTGGTCGACCAATAAGAATGTCAGTCGACCAAGACGGCATCGACCGATTAGTCGACTAAACGACTAAAGTTGACAGCCCTAGCAGGCTGCAATATTAATAATGTGTTATGTCTCTTAGAAATGCACATTTGACAGTAGCTCGAGTTGAGATAAAGATGTATATGTTCATTAACAAACACGCAATGTTCATTAACAGTAAATACGTAAAAGATTTAAACATCATAGGGTAAAATTTGAATTATTTACATTAACCAATTGTCATCCATTCCATAGTATCATACATTTAGGCTATAGATCATGATAATCACTAGTAAAACCATGCATGCATATAGCACCTCATACCATGGTAAAATGTAACTATAGCCGGAATACGTTTTACAGATGCACAAATGCTACGGCTACAAAAAATGCTATAATTATATTCCATTACTCCTTTATACCCGTCTACATAAATATAAAAAAAAAATGATGCATCACATTTCTGCCATAATGTTACCATGGTGCAGTTCAGGGGTGGACCGGCCATTTGGAGCACCAGGAGTTTTCCCGGTCAGCGAGTAAAACGTATCTGCTCTAGTAAGCGCATAAATGGTCCGTGTGGCGCGGTTCAAATGATTAGCGCCTTTTCATTTCGCTTTTGGTCCATAAGCAATCAAACTTTTTGCTATAATTATATTGAGGAAAATTGTATTGCGATAATTATCGTTTTATCCCCCAGCCCAAAATCTTTCTTTAACCACCCAAAGAAAAACTACAGAGATATTCTGAAAGCAACGAGAAGCTAGCCTACGGGGGAAAACAAGTTATGTGCACCACTTGCACTGTCAAAACGTGTCATCTGAAAGTAGAACACAGTGCATTACCAGCGGCAATAAACCAAAACGCACACTAAGAGCGTGTACCTTGATGTTACAGACATAGTGGAATATGTTCTGCTGCTTTCAACAGGATTATTTTACACTTTCATTCACACACGGCGCTGTGAAAGCCACACTAATGTATGGACCAGGAAGCTGAAAAAACCCTGGGTATCCAATTTCACAAGCCAAACCAGAATTAAAATCCATCATTGTAGATTTTCAACAACACATAGAGGAAAGAAATGCCAGAGCAATGTCTTACTCCAGACCAGCAATGTCACGCATGATAGTCTCAAACAGTTCATCTGAGGCTATAAAAAATGCTCAGTCACCTTTCACGAGAGATGTATGGGTCAACACTAGTGTTTCCCATTCATAGCAGCAGTCTTGGGGACAAAATGAATAAATAACTATTTGTATTTTGTTATATTCTAATTGTTTGGATTCCTGAAGGAACAGTGTGAATGTAATGTAGACGTAAAACAAAGCTTGAGTCTACATTAAAGGGGTCATCGGATGCAAAATTCACTTTTAAAATGGTGTTTGCATATAAATGTGTCTTTGCAGTGTGTGGTCACACACAACCACCAAACAATGAAAAAAATCAATTCACTCCTTTTTTTAATCCTCAAAAAGTCAAAACTATCAATCAAGCCATTTGAATTTTCTGAGCACTATGATGTCATGTTGCTCTTGCTCCGCCCACGACCACTGACGGACAGTCCTGTATTAGCATATTTCCGCCCCCATTTGTATACGGTCCGCCAAGGCAGAACTTTACTGTCTTGTGTCGACACGCCCCATTGAAAGAGATGGGTGGGATGAGGAGTTGCTCATTAACATTTAAAGAGCACAGAAACGGTCGCCGTGAACACTTTTGAGGAGGTAAAAGGGTGTTGTTTTACACAACTACTGAAGAATTTTAACCAAAGTATGTTACAAACTTTGTCCAAGGGCAAATTGATGCAACGACTATTTAACTCTGTTCAATTTGGACACCTTGAAAATGGGTTGGATTATTTAAGTTTAAAACGTACAATGTTGAAAATGTCGACATTAGAGAGGCAAAGGTCAACTTGTGTAATTTACTTATTTAAAATAGTTAAAGCATGTTTTAATTGTCTTCAGCCATGGGGCCTGGACCTACTTACTAGGAGGGCCTCAGCAAACTTCCAACGGTCATGGTATGACTAAAAAGTACTTAATGTATTATATTTACTATTAACAAACTGAAATAACCAACCTTTATTAATGCTGATTTCAAGTCAGAAGTCAAGAGAAAAGCTTGTTCTCTTATCACATTTAATGCAACGACATACAGACATTAATTGTGGCTTGGAGAATGTAAATATTTTTTGGGTGGGGACCACTGTATGTATATAATCCTAATGTAGATAGTTATGACAACCTGCCAGATAGTGAGAGAGTCTTGTTAAATCAAGACAGCTCGAGGTTCATTTTTCATCTGTGTGTCAAACAAGCAGTTGAATTACGAGGCAATCGGACCTGTTCTGCAACACCTCTGACTTACCTTTCCTGTCTTGTGGTCGAACCACACCAGAGCGTGATTCCTGGACAACACCTTGCAGTCGAAGGTGGCGTTGTTCTGGGCAGGGCGACACCGAGCCACGGAGCGCCCGATCTTGACCGGCTCATCCAGGTAGACATGGCGTTCCTGAAACGGGTGTGAATTCGGGCGGCAGGTGAACACGGCCAGCGCTGAAGGCATTGAGGATGGCTTGGGAGTGTTACTCCAACCAGAGACGAAAGACAGTGTTTCTTGATCCAGACTGACCTGTTGCTCCAATTCACTTTAATGAATTATCAGGAGAGCAATGCACATAGTAATACGACAAAAATATCAACAATCAAGAAAAGACGAGGCTTTTCTGCTAAACCGGCTACATTACGTCCACAAGCCTGTACTTAGACACTATGTAGTTGATTTCTTGCCCCCTTGCGAGACCCCCATGATGCCGAACCAAACCCAATACAGCTGCTCAATTCCATACAAGTCTGTATTTTCTGATGACAGTCCACTACTCGAGCTGTTACACCTCGTACCCTGCACAATTCATCCTCACCCCCTTAACAAACATAGGCCTGGCGAATAAACAATCGAGTAACACTAATATCCTAATAACCTGTTGGATCAGTTAACCTGTAACGTTACTCCCCCAAAAATAACAGTCCATTTGCGTTTCTAGATTAAGACGGCAGTGATTTCTAGATTAGCGGGCACAAAACGCACTAATGTGACTGTTAAACCCTAATGAAGATTATTAATGTGAGTGGGTTTGACTGAAGTATGCAAGACAGACCATCAACCCACCACTCAGCTAAACAGAGCAGGCATTCAGTATGAAAACAAAAGCACAAAGACCTAATTAACCCAACATTAAAATGACAAAATTCAATATTAGGTATTGAAAAACGCTCGCGCGGAGGGTGTTTTCTTGCATACGAGAGCGTTAGCTGGCTAACTTCATATTAGCTCGTTAGCTTCGCTGAGGTAACGGTGGCCCTTTATCTTCTGCTTATCAAGCCGCCCGGACTGAAAGTGACTTTATAAATAATTCCAAATGTGGATTTATCCAGTATTGTCTGGTCCGTGGAACTTTCATACGCGGAGAATTTACGTAAATCCCGTACTAGCTCGCGAGCTCGATAACTAGCTTAGCTCGCTGAGAGACGCGAAAAATTCCCCAGAAAAGAAACTCATCAACGAATAAAGTCCGTGACACGATTCCGCGTTAAGCCATGGAAGTCTCCGGTCCCGGGGACACTGAAAACGAGATGAAAAATCGCTGTGTGAGAGGGGATAATTGGAAGTAAGTCGTCCTCCCGAAGAGATACACACACACATACACCGGCCACAAACCGCCGCGGGGCTCGCGCACCACCGAGAAAGGGGCGTGGGCTCTGTGATGACGGCTTATGGGGGCGGGGCTATTGAATTGCGTTTTCAGTGAAAAAGGATGACGTTTTTCATATGGAATGAAAATAGATGGAGATTATTAAACAATTATTTTTTTTTCTGTTTATTTGTTCTATATTGTGATTGTTTTCTTTGAAAATGTTTCAATAAAAAAAAGATATGAAAAAGAGATTATTAAACAATTATTAAATAACAAAATGTTAAAATACGAATAAATGGCTTGATACATTTCTTTTTAATGACTTTTATTCCTGAATCAATTTCTGCATTACTTTTCTCACTTTATTTATTATTTTCTGTATTTATTTATTTTTTTAATTTGTTATTGTTTCATTTATTATGTATTTGATTTTTGTATTCATTTCAAAGCGTTTCTTTATTTTTTATATTTATTACATTTTATTATTCTTATCTATTTTATTATTATTATTATTATTATTATTCCGTATTTATTTGGATTCTATTATTATATTTATTTCCACATGGATTTGTTTATTTATTTAAACATTATTTATTTATTTTTGTATTACATTTCTGTCTCCATAGATGTTCGTATTGAAATGATCACAACCTTTATGAATGTTAGCTCAATTCTAAACTGTCTTTGTGAGGTGCATCAGAATGCCTTTTAAAAACAGCACCGAAGGAGTCCATTTGGTCCAACATATTAATTAAAAAAAGTAAACATATGGCAAACTGAGGAGTGCCAAGTATAAAAGTCAGTTCAAAATAAACACATATACTGATGAAATCAAAGTAAGTGGAAGATGCTTCTTGCACCAGGCTCCCAGTAAAAGTAAAGTTATTTTTGGAGTTCAAAATCAACCGAAAGTATTTTTGTTTCAGAAAGGAGGAGAGGGTTTCAAAGCTAACCCCGCCCCCAGTCCCTCTGTTTGGATCTGGAATCTGTGGACTAAATTACACTGAACATCTGTCATTCCAAATAGAGCATGCTGATTTGACTGGAATGTCTTGCTAAGGCTAATCCAATTGCTTTGTCTTGGTTCTTATGTGACCCCCATAAGAAGTAATTAAGTGATCACTGGAACATATGGAAACAATGGTGTGTGTTTCAATGATGCAAATGAGACATTTAGATGTTAAAGTGTAATAGTGTAGTTAAAGTAAAGCCACAATATTAACTACATAACTAAAAAAAATATTACTCTCTGCAAGTGTCCAAAAATATATATGTCTTCAACCATATTTAAGCCCAAAATTAAACCATTTTGACATAAAAATTATTGCATTATGTAAAAATTATGTATTTATAAATGCAAAGATTGAATTATGAGAGAATTAAAATAAAAATAAAAATCACAGCTGCATGAACTTTCTATGCTTTCTGTCTGAATAAATAATAATAATAATAATACGTTTTGTTTATAGATGCCTTTCACTCAAGGTCACCTTACAAATCTTCCTAAAAACATCAGCATAACATTAGACAAAGCAAACTATAATATTAATACACAAGAACAAGATATTGCTCAATACGAGTAATAATAAATAAGACTGTTTAAATAATTAAGAGTTATAAAATATTTTTTATTCAATACCACAATAACAATTAAGGGCAAAAAATACATACATTTCAGTGCTTTAATTTTCAGAACTCCAAAAAGATTTATGTAGTATAATTTTAAGTCATTTTGGTGTTTGCAAATGTGGTTTGCAAAGAGACGACTTCTTTTTATGATGTTTTTCTAATACAATTAATTATTTGCGCAATGTAAATCGTAAAAAATCGCAATCGTAAAAAAGGACATCAAATACACATATCATACTGCGTGCGCGCTCCCGTACAGCTCTTGAGCTCACTGCTGACGCCAGCACGCTCTCCCCGCAAGCTCCGCCCCTTTCATCCTGGACGTGTTTGTATTTACAGCTCAAGTTCCTGTAGTTTTCATCATTAAATCAAGTCCGAACCCACCTGAGGGTATCACCATGGCCTTTCAGGGGTCTGGGGAACTGGAAGATCAGCTCGAGGAGCCAGAAGACACGCTGAGAGTTTCTCCGGCCGAGGAAATGCCCGTCGATGGGCCTCCAGCACTAGAGGAGCCGGAGCAGTTACTGCTGCCGTGGGATCGCTTCTCCTCCTGGCTTCACTGCATCTGTGTGGTCGGCTTCGATCTGGAGCTCGGGCAAGCTGTGGAGGTACAGAAAACTGTCATACTAGTGCTGTTTGTTCTGCTGTCAGCTGTGAGTTAGCCTGCTAGCCGGCTAACTGTGTGGAAGTCAATGGAAAAACTTGCTAGCATGTGTGGCTATTGCTAACAAAAATAGTTGAGTCATCAAAAAGTACATATATATGGATGCTGAACCAGTGTAAGCAGTTCATTGGTATGATTTGGGTTAATACGTCTGAAAGGTTTCAGTAGCTTTGACACATTGGTGCATTAAACATATTCTCGTTTATTTGTGCCATTTCCTGATGTAATAATCTGATGTCTGTGCACATTATGCGTGTAGTTTGGGTTTATCAGGACTGTTATCTGTCCTGATTACTGTTCAGTGTGTTGATCTAATCATCTGTTGTCTGAACTTAGGCACTTAGATACTTAGAATAAAAAAACAGCAACTACTGAATTCCAAACTGAATAAGATCATTATAGCTTGGTTTCACAACAACAACAACAACAAAAACATATTAAACCAAAGTAAAGCCAACTGTAAAAGGTGATTTTAGTGTTTAGTGTCTCAATGTCACTGTCAGAAAAAAAGTTACGAAAGCTGTCACTGGGGTGGTACCTTTTCAAAAGGTACACTTTTGTACCTAAAGGGTGCATATTGGTACCATAATTGTACAAATATGTACCATGAAGGTACCAATATGCACCCTTTAGGTACAAAAGTGTACCTTTTGAAAAGGTACCGCCCCAGTGACAGCTTTCGTACCTTTTTTTTCTGACAGCTCGAAAGGCATCAATGGCCATGACTAACAACTACTACTCTGTCCCATGTATGCATATGTTAGTGAAAATAGTTTTAAAAATACATGATCTCATTTTCCATGTTATTTTTTCTACTGCAGGTGATCTACCCACACCACTCCAAACTCACCGAAAAAGAGGTAGGAAAGATTTATGTTTTATATTATCAAGCTGGATAAAACCATTAATTAGTCGATATTGAGTGTTCTTTTGTTTCTCTCGTTTTAGAAAACAAGTATATGCTATCTGTCATTCCCAGACTCCAATTCAGGTAAAATTGCTTTTCTTCACGCGTCTGCTGTAAACAATGCAGATTTGATGCACAGATGTCGTCACCTGTAGATTTGAACATGCATAAGTTGAACATCATAAACTTTTACCTCTGGTTTCACAGAATGCTTAAGCCTAGTCCTAGACTACAATGCATATTTGTGGTTTTAACTAAAAATATGTCAGTGTCATATTTTTTGTCTCAAGATGCACGCCAGTCTTTTTTTCTTAGGCACATTTATAAAAGCTACTTAAATGCCCTAATTAAACTAGGGCCTAGGCTTAATCTAAGCCCTGTCTGTGAAACCAGGCCTTAATGTTTTGACTATGAAACGTTCAGTAGATCGCACAGCTGAAGCTAATATCATGTCAGCACTGAGTTTTTTTCTTTGTATTTTATAATGCAGTTCAGATGATCATTCACTCAGTGATTATATTATTAAATGTCAATCACTTTCCATACTGTATTTGAGTCTGTCTTGAGCTCAAAGTGTCTGTGTTGTGGTTAAGCAGTGCAGAATGTGTGTAGTGTGTTTTCCTACGTTAAGGTTTGATCTAGAGGATTGTAATTCATCTGAGTGAGTACTATGACCCACTAATGTGTGTGGGATGAGACCTCGACATCCTCTCTCTCCAGCAAGCGCATTCATATGCAGAAATGAACTCACAGCGTGGGTTGTGAAATGCTATCTGACTGTTCTGTATTAGCAATATTAATGAACCGTCACTTGGTAGGTCAATATGTGCATTTGTAATAGATACTCTGGAACAGTATATTTTCTGCTGTTCACTGTTGTATCTGAGTAAGATCAATATTAAGGAATCACCCTGTTGATTTTGAGCTGAGATTCTTTGGATGCTCCTCACATCTTATGTTATTCTTTTAAAAGTCCCACTTATGTTTTTATTTTATTCTAAAATAATTGTATCATTGTCCTTGTGGAACATCTTTAAAAACATCTTGCAATTTTAAAAAAATATAATTTGCATCCAAAAAATTCTTCTTTGGACATTAAAAGAAGAAATGTTGAACGCTTTTTTCCCATGCATAATCAGTTTTGAGAGATGCAACATTAAAATTTATGTCAAACGTGGCATGATGCATTTTCACGCAGTTATATTTGAATATATGTGTGATTTTGAGTAATGAATAAATGAAGACATAATGTTATTTCTAGATGAATTTATCCTTTAAAACTCATTGGCCGGAGCAAATTATTATTATTTAAAAAAAACTGTGCTTATCTCTAGCAGAACTCCTCAGCATTGGTCAATATTGTAAATAGAGCGGCCGGTCGGTGTTGTTTTCCACAGTATCGGCTGTGGTAAAAATGACATCTCTGATCTTCTTCACACAGATTCAGCTCGTGTTAATTTAGTTTGAAATAAACTTGGGTTATTAATAGCGATGAGGCACAAACAGGGAGGAACAGGATTTGAAGATTACAGGACAGTCCGGTTAATGACTTTGTAAACACGCAGACGCTTTTACTCTGGGGGTGTGTGTGTGTGTTTGTGGAGTTCACTTTCTAGTGAGTCTCCTAGTGAGACATTGATCTTGTTCTCGTTTTTCTGAAACTGGAGAACCCGATGATACCCTATCCCATCATTCTACTCACTTCAGCTCGCGTACTATACGCTATCTTACAGGATGTAGCATGTCTTGTTGTCTTGATCATATTTTACAAGCTAGTTATATGATAGTTCCAGCGCTGAAAATCTGTGCGGATGAGCAACATTTAAAGATTGTGGTGCTCTGTGATTTATTTTTATCG